TCTCGGGTGGTGGGGGCAGCGGGGCGCGGATGGGGGGGTGACCCCTGGCTGCTGGCCTGGGCCAGCTGCAGCGAGGGGCGCTCTCTCCCCCCACCACTCCTCTTCCTAGTTTCCCCTCAGGAAGGGGGCCCATGGGGTCCATGAGGGGCTCCTGGGCATGCATGGAGAAGCAGCCCCATGCAGCTCCAGGGCCTGACCATGGAGGCCGTGCAAATGCGCTGCTCAGAAATCCTCTGGCAGGAGCGTAGTTCCCCGCAGCCCGAGGTGTTGCCCTTCCAAGGTGGTAATGCTCCCATTTCTAAAGGAGGTGGGCTTTCCTCATGGGCTGCTTTTGCTCAGGACTCTCCACCCATCTGGCTAAAGTGTCCTTAGAACTGGGCTGCAGTGAGAGGCTGTTTTAGCCCAGCCTTGCTCTTTTCCTCTGCTTCACGTGTGTCAGGCCTGCGTCACGTCTGAAGGGGCTCCCCCGTCTCTAGATTTCTCCCCGTTACCCTTCCAGGCCTCTCCTCCCAGGAAATGTCTTGCACATAATAGACAGGACGGTAATCACCGGCCCAACCCCTTCTCGGGAGACTTGGACTAGCATAGAGTCCGGGGGAGATGCCGGGCGTTCAGCGCTGCATGTGCTAATCGGGGGGTGTTTGCTGGGCGTCCAGGGTGGACGCTGGATAGGCGGTCGGACACGCAAACCTGGGGATGCAGAAATGAGAGGAGAGGTCCAGTCTGCGGGCAGAAATTAGGAAGCGGACCAAGTATCGCCGGTATTTAAGCCATGAAATAGGGTGACTCTATCAAGGGAACAGTGTAAACAGAGAGGAGATGAAGACTGGGATGGACTGACCACTTCAGCCAGAAAAGATGAATGAGCAGTGGGGGCGGGGCGGCTAGGGCTGGACGTCCAGGCAGGCAGGGTTTGGAGGCAGAGCGCATAGGAACCTTGTGAAGGCTGCCGCCGGGCCCGGCAACATAAGGCACGAGAGCTGATGACTGGGCTGAGCAGTGATGGGGTGATTTCTGACTTGGAGTGACTTTTTAAAAAAAGAGTGGGGGAAAAAAGTGAATATAGAAACAGGGAGCATGGATCTAGAAAATGCTTTCCAGAGTTTTGCCTTAATGGCAGGCAGTCGGGTGCTTCCTAAAGGATGGAGTAGATTCAAGGAGTTGTTTGCTTGCTTTTGTTTTTAAGACGGGAAAAATTAAATCATGTTGTCAGGCTGCTGGGAAGGATGCAGTGGGAAAGGGGATGGTAGTGCAGGGAGAGGGGAGAGGCTTTCCGAAGCACTGTTCTCGAGTTACACAGAGGGACAGGATGGGCCGGTCAACCCTAGCAGCAGGAGGGAAGGCAGAGCCGGCAGGCCCGAGGGGATAAATGTGGATAAACATGGGTGCGGGCCCTTGTAGGAACGCTCTTCCAACTGGCTCTATTTTCTGAGTGAAAGTGGAATCTCGGGGAGGTGCTAGAGGCTTGTACTTACTTAGAGAGAGCGGATAGGTGCCGGAATTGCACTGTGATTGCCCAGCAGCATTAAGAAGTCGCCAGGGCTGGGGCATGAGTGTGAAACGAGAGCAGTCAGCGTACACTGTTTTTCTCTGTTGTCATGATCAGCTAGCTCTTCGGGGACAGGCAGATGGAGGCACCGGACTGAATGAACCAGGGTTTGGGTTTTACCAACTGTATAGCAAGAAGGACCACAGGGCAATGGAGCTGAGGAGTAAGGGAAGTATCTTAACATAAGGCAGGTAAAGACGTGAAGACGGTGAGCATGCAGGTTATCTCAGTACCCCAAAGGCCAACCACGTAAACAACGGCCAGCGGAGTTTAGGAGTAAAACTCTATGTGACATTTTGATGCTATATATCAGCGTGGCTTGGAGAGAGGTTTGGGAGTAGAATTGATAAAATATGATACAGTCATATATTAAAGCAATATTGCCCCATATTCATTTCTTATCACCACTCAACCCTGGCAAGGAACCTCTTGGGCATTTTTTTCCCTAATTTCCACCTCCTTAAATTTTAATACTATAGATATACTCTATATCTGTTAATGTATTGCATGTATATGTGTTTTATGAATAAAAGAGTAAGATATTTTTGCCCCCAAGAACCAGTTTTCATTCCATTGTTGGCAGTTACATCCATTGAAAATGCAGGTATTAAAGTGATACTCCATATGCTTCTTAGTTTTAAAAATCTCATTTACTAGAATATTGGGAAACATTAATTATTAAGAACTTTTGGCTTTAATTATATAACAGAATGTCTTGGAATTTTATTATCATGAATGTCCAAATGCTGTCAAAATGCGGGCAAAGTTTGAACATTTGTTATTTCCCCCGACACTCAGAAAGTTACCCATAATATTTTTTAACAAATAAAAGATCTTCAAGTTCATCCAGTGATATCATTCAACATATAATTCTCATTTCATAAAATAATTTCAGTGCATACATTTAAGATGATCACTACTTCATCTTTACATGTTCATGATTTTAAAGACTTAACTTGAACACTACATCAATACAGAGGTGTTTAAAGACCATCGAACTTCCATGGAGTACTAAGAGATATCTGCTTCAAACTCCACACGTGGCCCTCAGAGGGAGGGGGCAGATGTGTAATCCTCGAAGCCTTTGTGCAGCCTTCTTCCACTGTAGCCTGAGCAGTTTTGGGGATTCCCACCCGATAATAATGCTGGAATACAGGGCTCAGTCCATTTGTGACCAGAGTTTGCACCAGAAGGAGGAAATGACCAACGAGTCAGGAATTTTCCCTTGTAAAAGTAGTCATTATATTCAACAACTTCGACAGATGAAGAAAGGAGTGAGTCATTTACTTGGGGAGTATCTTTAAGTAACAAAGTTGTTCAGTGTGTTCTTAAATGTTCACTTATCTTTTCTCTGGGCTATGCAGTTTAAGGCTATTTCTTTTTTTAATTAATGGTGCAAAAAAAACTTTTAAAATTAGTGATACATAAAACTTTTAACTGTTGTATGTATTGCAATATTTTATATCTGACGTGTCTATTAGGCTAGTTGTATTGGGTTGTGTTGAATGCCTATTTTTGAGACTCAAGTGTATCAAAATCTTGGGCAGTAGTTTGGGGGGGACATGAACTATTCTAGTGCACTAGGCAATGTATCAGCAAAAAGGAACACAGGGAGTGCTCAAAAGAGACTTCTCAGCAGTACACGGACAACCATATCAAGGCTTTATAGGTCGAGTTACTTTCACACAAGCTTTTGTAAATAAACTGAAAGTTACTTCAAAACCAGAAATCGTCCCCTCCACTGCTCCTAGTACTTGCTCTTTCCCTGCCTTTCAGTCGAAGCATCTCCATGATGCTCCGGGCATAGACATCTCTCAAGTTCACGCTGATGTAGGAGTCAGTGGCTATATTCTTGGTAAGCTTCTTCAGAGCTTCGCGCTGCCGAACAGCTGCCTCCTTGAGCTTTAAGGTAAAATAGCAAGCGGAGAAGCGGTCGTTAATGATAGCGATAGGCAAAGCCAAGGCAAGGATTCCCGATAATATACACATGAAGGCGATGATTTTGCCTGTGGTGGTGTCTGGTCTAATGTCCCCGTAGCCCACCGTGGTCATGGACGTTGTGGCCCACCACCACGCACAAGGGACACTTGTGAAGGTTGTGTCCGGAATGCTTTGCTCAGCAAAATATTCCACAGTGGAGAATATAGAAATGCCCACAGACAGAAATAGGAGCAGTAGGCCGACTTCTTCATAACACTGGGTGATCGTCATTCCAAGTGAGCGTAATCCTGTAACAGAACATCTGCTGTCAGTCACTGGCACCCCTCCTCTCCTCCCTCTTCTTCTCAACCTTCCCTCCTTCCCTGCTATCTACCACAAACGTGCATTTCACATCTGTGTCTCCAGCACTGGGCAACATGCTGGGGTATATAGGTGACAAATCATAACCCTTGTCTTCAGGGCGTTCATAGTCTAGTTGATGGGGCTGGACTAAGAAGGCTAGAAAGAAATATAGTTAGATCCATTCACGCACTTCTGTATTTGTTAAACACCTACTATTTGTACAGAAAAAGGTGAGGAATGAAATTAAAAAGCTAGCAGGAGTATCTGATAGGAATGGATATTTGAGTCTGTACAATGGGAGCGTTGGGTGTGGAGGGTCACTTGGGCGGACCTGCATTTCATTGCATCACTTCAACACATTTTTCTAATGCTAATTTGATGTTGTCTACTCTTCCCACCCTCCCAATAAAGTTTAACGCCACGAGCATGAGCGTACCATCATCCGAAAGCCAGAGGCAGTGAAGGACATATGCCATGAGAATGAAGTGAAGCAGGTTAGGCATCGGTGACAAAACTGACATGAGAACATCACATGTACATTCAGGGGATAATCCTAGAGATCTGCCAGGAAGGGTTCCTGAGCTTCTATGACACCCATGGAGATTCTAGTCCTTAACACCAAAGCTCTAGGAAAATATCTCCTTGAGTACATAGAATTCCTGCATTCCTGTAAAGAAGTAGGCCTGACTGTAGACTAGTCCTCCATTGCAAAAAGGGATGGAGGACTGGAGCCACTAGAAATTCCCTCGCTGTGAGGCACTGGCAAAGTCCTCATTCCTGTTCCGAGGGTCCATTGGGCCCCGGGGGACAGAGCCAGGAGAGGCCCTTCCCATCTCTGAAGAGACCAGGCCTTAGGGAGAGCGAGGTGCGACTGTGATGGGACTGTGATTTGACTAAGGTACCTTCCCTAACACTACAGAGATACTGCTAAGTGTGTACACACATTTTGAAGCCATATCAACCTGATGTCACAATGATACTGTCTCTGAAGTCCAAAGCAATGCCTCCTAGAATCATATAAAATTTTATTCACTCGCAGAGACTACTTGCAGTGCACTAAAACACTACTGGTGCTCTCGTTATTTTGAATTTTGTTCTTAAAACTTTGAGGTATTTGTGAATTATTTACCAGCTACTTTCACATATTGGTGAATATTAACCTTGAGGTTTAACTTCAAAATAATTTTTTTTAGAATATCTTCAGAATACAATTTAGAAAACTGGCCTTGATGTGTCCGTATTGCATCGCATTTCTGAAGTAAAATGACAGACTCTGAGGGACAGCATAGTGTTTGGGGAGGCTGTTTTCATTTCAAGATGAAATCTAAACAATTGTGTAAAGAAACATAAAGTGGTCTGAATTTCTCCATGTGACATCTATTAACTCAGATAATTCTCAAAAAACAATATGAGACAGATGTAATTATTACTCCTTTTTACGGATGAGTAGACTGAGGCATAGAAAGGTAGCGTCTCTAGTACAAAGCTACAGAGCCAGGATTTAAATCGAGGCTCTCTGGCCTGCCATTGTTCTAACTTATTGCATAATACCTTTCAATGTATAGTCACAGTTACTACATGGGAACATATGTCATCTATGTCTATATTTTGCTAAATGTAATGCTTAGGTTAAAATTGTCCAATATTTGTTCAAGTGTCCATATCTTTTTAATAAATGAAGGCCTCATTAATACTTTGTACTTCTTTAGAACTGAAAAAAAAGTTTGAAGAGGTAACATTGTGGAAATTACTATTATTTTCTTTTTCCTTTCTTTTGGGAAAAAATGTAGTCTTTACTGGTTGATTTTAAACTGAATCCTGTGAAGAGTTTATAAATACTAGAAGAAAGCATCCTATTACGTGTGTCAGAAAACAAAGAGTAGTACTTCTAAAAGTTGTTGGAAACCCCATTATCCAATCCTTGGTATGTGAGACTAGCTAGGAAAACATATTCCCAAAATTATATTAAGATAAGCCCCAATTACTTCAGTGATGTGAAAAAAATACCTGAGGTTAATTTCTCCCTGTATCTATAAGGAGAGACAACTATCATTAATTTCTTTTAGGTGATCAGTCAGGCACATATCTAGAGAAATAGATGGTAAAGGACTCTCTAGCCAAATTATTTCTATTCGTATGTATTGCATTAGTATGTATGATATCGATATGGCATCCTACTCTGTTGTTTCTCAAAGTGTGGTCCAAGAACCACCTACATCAAAATTCCTTGTGAGCTTGTTAAAATTTATGCTCCGGGACTCAATCCCAAATACTGGGAACTGACTCTCTAAGACTGGGGCTCAGAATTTGCATCTTAACAAGATTTTATGGGATTCCTCTTTTCAAAAAGTCTAACATAAGGTAACACACATGTAGCTCAGAACACTCAACAGGTACAGGGCTGAGAATCACTGCCCTTAGGCAGGCAAGGGTCTTCTTTAATGGATTTGTGTGATTTCCCCTGACAGTGGCTATAATTTTCAAGTACAACTGTGTGTTGTGTGGAGATTTTTCTAGGGAGAATGCTCGTTAGATGGTCTAGGCTTTATGATACACACGAAAAGCTAAGGCCTTCTTGTTACTACCTCTCTCATGCATCCCAGGTCATGGACAAGAAAATTCTCAGATACTAGAGAAAGCATTTAATTAGTGCCTTCTGATTTCTTCCCAAGCAAATATTTCCGTTGCTTCTTCAAAACTTAGGAGAAGGCCACCAGTTCCTGGTCATCTCTCTTTCTGTATAGCCAGAGAAGCCTCAGCAGGACAGACTTTCTCTTCTGCCAAGGAACACAGGTGGCAAACACTTTCTTGGACACAGAAGAGAAACTGGCTTATGTCCCTAACTATCATATATAATTTATGCATATAGTTAATGTGCTGTTTATGCATCTTTTATTTGGAACCTTCTAGAGGCAGAGTGTCTTTAGTTTTTGTACATCTTCTGGGCATTGGGTTAAAACAAAGTTTTTGTACATCTTCTGGGCATTGAGGTTCACAAGTGGTCAAATTATTTCTCAAATGCCTTATGGAGAGAAAGAGTAGGAGAGGCACTGTTTCCTTTATACCTGTGATAACAACTTGAAGGCTTAGCCTCTCAATAACTTTTTGGAGATCATGGTTGGGTAGAATATGGGAGTTGGTATTCGGAATATCAATTCAGAGTTGCTTCCCTTGGACTGTGGGTCAAACCCCTAACGCTTAAAAACAAGGGCAAGTTAAAAAACATCAATGAAATCTGAATACCTGTGGAATGTCTGCCCAGCTTTAGCATGCGCAGAGCCCTGAGCAGCCTCAAAACCTGGACGATGCGCCCCACGTTTTCCAGATCCTGTGTGGTCTCACTCCCACTCAAGCTCTCTACCAGAAGAGTGATGTAGAAGGGCAAGATGGCCAGCAGGTCTATGATGTTGGGCACCTTTCTGAGAAAGAGGCACCTGTCCCGCACACACAGGAAGCGTAGGACAAACTCCCCCGTGAACCAGCTAATGCAAAAGTACTCCAGGATTTCCAGCAGCTGCAGGTCCAGCCAGCTCAGCTCGGCCGACATCAGGGCCATGTTGACGATGGACACCACCACGAAGATGATGGAGATGACCCCGAAGATGCGGGCAGCCGTGGAAGACCCAGGCTTCTCCAGGACGTCCCAGAGCTTCTGGCGGACGGCGTGACAGTGGCCCTGTGAGAAGTCTTGTTCACTCGCAGGCTGACTTTCCTGGTCTTCTGCGTCCTTCTTAAAGTCTAAGGTCTCACTCAGCTCTTTTCTTCTGAAGTATCTTTTAGAGAAGACAACCTGGTGATTAGTCAACTTTTAAAAAATACAGCAGTAAAAAAGACAATTAAAGTTGGTAGTGAGGTTTTGCTTCTTATTTTAGTTAAATGCAGAACACGTCCGTTCATGGCTTACCCGGGCTGTCTCTGGCCCACAGTATTCTAACTTTATCACTTAGCCTTATTATTTTTAAAATGGCACTTTTGTGGCAGGAGCTTACACAAGAGGGTTTATACATGGCAAAGCTATTTAATGCATTTACTCATTTTCTTGTAACAAAACCAGACGTTTGCCACATGGAACTGTGTGTGTGTGATGGAAAGGTCGTCAGNTTTTCTTGTAACAAAACCAGACGTTTGCCACATGGAACTGTGTGTGTGTGTGATGGAAAGGTCGTCACGCAGGAATGACAGCGAGAGAAAGCCAGCAGCGAAGTCATCGTCAAAGCCAAGGAATCAACCTTCTAGCTTGAGCATTTAAAGCAGTTCTCCAGCTACATTTTAAAATCGAGTGTCCTAGGTCTGATAAACGATAATGCTTCATATTGAGACCCGCATCCCTATACACACCTCTTTTGGAGCACAGCTTTTGCGACTCCTTTAGTCAATCACCAAGTATTTACTGCAGGCCTGGCCTCCCTTGCCTTGGAAAGGAGTTGGCCTATGCTCATCCCCAAAGGAAGGTTCAAAAAGTTCCACCCGAAAGTTGGCTTGACCCCTTCCAGCCCGCCACGGCCACCCTGCAGCTCAGAGGCGGCCAAGCGGTCACAGGCCTGGGCTTAGCGAGCTGGTGCAGAGCCTCAGGCCGGCGCCCGGCCCGCCCGCCCCGCCCGTACCTGTCCCTGCAGCAGGCGTCGATGCTGAGCTCGTCGATGCCCCAGTACTGGATCTCCTGCAGGAAGGAGAGCGCGCACAGCTGCTCCATGACGTGCAGGCGGCCCGTGCGGTAGTAGTGCAGCACGTAGCGGAAAGCTTGCGAGCTGCGGTCGAAGAAGTACTCGTTGTCCACGGGGTTGGCGTCGTCGCAGAACTCCAGCGGGCTGGGCACGGCGGCCAGGGCGCCGGGGCGCCGGTACGAGGCCACCACCACGGCCAGCTTGCCCAGGCGCGTGTGCGGGAAGCAGGACAGCGCCTGCTGCGAGAGCACAAAGCGGCTGCCGCCCACGTTGACCGTGAAGCTGTCCCCGAGCGCCAGGGGCTCCCCCTCGCCCTCGCTGCAGAACACGCTGGACTCCAGCGAGGTCAAGGAGACGCTGTCCAGCGGCGAGTCCG